GCCCGACGTTCACCTTTCTCCCGGTCCAGAAAATTAAAAGAAAACCTAAAATATCCCGAATTTTTTCGGCGTCAAAGTACAAAGGGTTGAAAGGGAACCGAAAGACTCGTTCTGGCGCCCCGATCGGACCTAGCAGGGGCGAAAAAGTTTCGGATCTCAACCCGTCAGAGTTTATGCCTTTTATTCGCGATTTATACTATTCTGCCCTGCCCACGCCACCCGCGCGCTAGTTTATTTTTCATTACACCTCTGCCTCCACGTTTGTACGTGCACGTACAAGGAACGCTTTTTTTTCAATAGAAATCATAAGTGGCCATACAGCAACACCAATATGTTTATATTTGAAACGACACGATACGAAACTGCAAAACATGCAAAGAGGGTCGCGCGCGACGTACGTCTGCGTAAAGGTGAGTTCATACGGGTTGACTTTCGTCGTGCGGCAAGTTGATTCGATAACGCCTTGCCAAAGCCGCATAGCCTCTCCATTAAAGGCACCCCCAAACCAACGCGAATTATTTGCAGCGGCAGCAATTTGGGAATCCCCATTGTTAAACTCTATAGACTGAAATTTTCTAATTTTGTACAAATGGCTTCACAAACTGCTGTCACGATTGCACTTACTCTTGAAAGTCCAACTCTAAAACTATGGAATGATGTGTAGAACGTATCACCAGTGGAGGAAGGAATCGCCAACTTTGGTACTTCTTTGAATCCACTCAGTGACAATAACATGTCTTAATAATAATTCCTACTTGTCTCGTTTAAAAATACATTACTTTCTTATCTTGTTTTTTTTTTACGTCAATGTAATGGCAAGTCGTTCTTCAGGTGAAATAGCTTCACAATAATTTGTGTCATTTGTGATAAAATTTCATGAACCCACTGTCTTTTTTCCTAAAATCAAAAATCGGCACCAATCGTTTACTAATAGATAAACACTGTGTAGAAAAAATATACCTACTTCACATTTTCTTCAGCTTCTAAGGCAAGTAACAAAAGTGCCTCTTCTTCATCATTATATAAATAAATATAATTGAACGTGCTGGCATATTTTTTATGTTCAGCTGATATGGAAAGACGCATTTCTCGAATAATAGACTTAAGAGCCGCTTAACGAACATTATGTTTCCTATAATCTGGTTCTCTTGGGTTCCATTTCATAGCATTCCAAAAAACGTATGGTATTATTTTTATCCATGTTAATTCTTGAATTTTCACGTACTTAGAAGAACACACACCCGTTTTGACTTTCATGCGGCGAAAACTCTACTTTTTCACAGTCGGTTTTAGTCAGCCGTCGCTTACGTCCTGCGATCTCTCGACAAAAGTGGTGGTTGCTATTAAAGTCGCTTTTGTTTAGTTGGTTTAATATTTACACCGACGATTTTCGCCGTACGGCTTAATGGTGCGGCAAAAATCGACCCGTGTAAACCTCGCTTAACGTGTCCCACGTCTCCCAGGATCTTTAAGTTATCGAAATCTGGCAACGTCCCGTCTTGTTTATCGCTATCCTACGCTTCCCTTTGATGTCCGCGTGTTCTTCTCTCCCCGGAACGTAACAACTTTTATTGGACTCCAATATTTATAACCAAGGGGCGATTGCTTTCGCCCGAAAAGCTCGAATGTATAAATCGCCTCGCGTCGAAGATCAAAGCGCCACGGCGAATATCCAATTTCGCCGTCGTTCTCTCAGCTACGTATATATACGTTCAACATAATCTGATTTTCATCCCCGGTAGTTTCCGGAAAATCCGTAAATCGATCTAGAAACTGTGCGACCCTGTGTATATACGAGGAAGTCGACAAAATTTTTGTATTTTAAATGGTTCGTCTATTTTTTACCCAAACGTGCGCCATCTATTGTCGCCGAGGCGAAGCGCATATACGTATTTATGGTTGCCGTCATTTGTTTTAAAGTCGAATGGTGCGTAAGAAATTGTCCTGAATGTAAAAGATGCGAAAAACTGCCATTCGAAATTCGAATATGGCCTAACGGTTGCTTTAAAAACGGACGGATGGTTTAAGATTGTGAGGCCGACTAAGCTTGTTATAATCTACTGAGTTTCTTTGTACAAAATTTGAAGATATAGATATAGAAGTTTGTCACTAGAACTAGGTGCAATGTCCATTAGATTAAAGTGACCGTTTTTAAAAATGGAATGTCCATATATCTTGGATTGTTTTTCGAACAAAAATAGGCATAAAAAAACATACATATCAAATCTTGGCGATAATGTATGCAAAGTAGATACCTAAATAAATTAAAATAAAAATGAAAATGTCTGCATTGATATCTTATTGTATCCAAAATTGATATTTAACGAAAATTGCTGGGCGGGTCCTCTTGCCGAAACAGCTGTCCACTTATGGAAAACGTTTATACCTAAACCCGACGAAATAGACAAATAAATCAGTCGCGAAAAGTGTATATAAAAGGAAAAATTCCTGGCGCGCATGTGGCACCGGCTATGGGCCAAATTGCCACATAAATATTCCCGCATGTGGCCGCCGCGCGTTTAGACAATTTCATTTTTAAAACGCCCCATAATATCTTTTTCGTAAAACGCGTCCTTTTCACCAGCAGTCTACCTGGCCGGTTCGCGAAGTTCTCCGGACCGATCGAAACATTGCCCATTTCTCCGGTCAACTCTTACGCCAACCAAAGCAGTAAAACTAAGAGATGAGGGCTGGAAAATTTCGTATTAATTGGCGATTTTAAACATCAATGAGACCTCTAGCGGAAAAAATGTTAAGCTACTTCGGATACTTCGTTTGTTACGATTCAATACTTTTATGGTTTCGTCCGAGTGTTCTACATTAACTCGAAAGCTTACAAATCCCAATACAAAACACATTGCTTTGTTGCTGGATGTCACTCAAGAAATATTAGGTAAATAACTATTGCCCTAACAATAGTTTTTGATGTAAAAATGTTATTCTCTAAACCTACCTAGTAGCACACTTTAGGAAAACCAACTTTACAACTGCATTAACTTTCTAATCATCTTTATAAGAAATGGAAACCATTATGTGCCAGTTGTCCCACCAAGAATGGCTGTATCTTGGGAAGTAACTTCTATGTCCAATAAGAATAGGGAAAAACTATTAGAAATGATGTCAACATAATAATTTAAATGTAGGTAGGTTCCGAAAACTTAATGTCGATTCTAGCTTCCAGCCAAGATAGCCAAGAAAAATTGTTATACCCAACACGGGTTTAAAATCCCCGGAATATCCGAGAGATGTTATATAAATAAACATTTGCCACCCTATACAATACTACTTCCGAAGCAAACGTGTGAAAGGGCTCAAGAAAAACCATACTAATATCTTTGGATTCAGGATAGTAATGCCGCGATGCCGAAAAATCTAAGATCATGCTGATGGTTTAATAAAATCCTAAACGCCAAGCTGTGTTCTGGTAAGATATTATAATTTTTGTTCTACCATGTCTTTAAATATGATTTAGAACAATGTCCGGCTTATGAACAAAACTATGTTGCTTTAAACAGAACCCGTCAGAAATCTACCCGGACATTTTGTATGTAACTGAATCATGGCTGAAAAACTCAATTTTGAACCAGATAATTGATCTAAATCAATATGCTGTCTTTCGACCGGATCGTGACAGCGCTGATTGATTTTTGATTGATTGATTTTTACTAAATAATTAAAAATATTCCAGAATATTGTAAGAATAAATAGTTTCCGTGCTATTACAGTTTAAGATAATACAATTAACGAATGAAAAAATCAAATTTACAAAAAATGGCTTCGGTACAAGAATCAAAATGACTTTAATTTACTTTTTATTAAACTCCTCCCGCGTCGGTTTGTGTTAATTCGAACTAGCTAACGTTTCGCCAATCATCCTGTTGACTTCTTCAGACCTTGACTGAAACTGCGGTCTTGGTTAGTTGCTGGTTAGTCACTGCTGTTTCGGACAAGCTCTGAAGAAGGCAACAGGATGATTTCAGAAGTTTTATAAAAAGTATTACAGTAGCCTGTGTTAGTTTCTTTGAAAAATGACTTTAATTTATTTAAAACTTTTTGAGTTTGCTCTAAGTAACTGATGGAATTTGATTTTAAAAATTATGTTGAAAGCGACGTGCCGCATAATCCTAATAGAGTTTGGTCTGTCAAAAAACAATCTGTTACCTAAACGAGTGTTCATTGATGGGACAGTCGCTGAAAATGGAACGGATGCAAGTAATTTATTTCGTTCATATTTTGCAAGCGTTTTCGAGCTCAAGTTGCCACTCAACTTTTGGTCTTCAAAGCATTTATTTAAGCTCGGGAGAAATTTCTCGTGAAATTTTTGCTAAAAATATAGCTATGTCTCAGTGCCACTTACACTCTGGAGCAGGAGTAATGGAGAAGTTTGGCATATAGTAAGTACCGCCGACCTTGACTTTCTGAAGTCGTTGTCGGTGGCTCCCTCCTCATATGGGTTGATTCATAACTGAAGGGAAGGAAATGTTTCACTTCAGCGTTTTATTTCAGACACAATTACGCCTACTTATAGTGTCCCACAACTCCGCTATGCCAGTCCCAAGCCTGGGGTCTCATCACGCAAGAGATGAGGAAGGAGGAGGGATCGAGGAGTAACACCTCGTTAAAAAACCAGGGTTCATCTGGACCGGATGATAGCACTCTGTAAGGGCCCCTGCCAGGGTACGGTGAAGATAGTCAACGGCAGAAGGAGCAGAAGAGATATGAATATTCCAATGGTCCGGAAGGCGGAAGAACAATCTTCAAGGGAAGGCTGATCTCGCAAGTCCAGTAAGACAGTCAGCCTAAAGGAAGATTACCTTGATTAAAAATTACCTTCAGAAGGCAACGGGAAACCACTGAAGTATTTATCCCAAGAAAATCACATGGAAGAAAACACAAAAAATCGGCCCTCAGTCTCCGGCAAAACGAGGGTGCTAAGAATCCCCGGAGTCAAAAATATTTGTAAAGATGTTTTAAACATAGGGACATGGAATGTCCAGAGTATGTACGAGGCTGGGAAACTAGCCAACACAATACATGAAATGGATAGATTGAAGATATCCATCCTAGGAATAAGCGAAACCTGGTGGCCAGGAGCAGGAGAATGTAACACGGAAAACAAAAGATTTTACTACTCAGGTAACAATGACAGGGACCACAGAAGAGGTGTAGGGGTCATAGTCACCAAAGAAATAGCTGGAAGTGTTACTGACTTTGTTCCCTACTCAGACAGAACAATGTTATTAAAAATTCGAACAAAGCCGCTTAACATCAACATAATCCAAGTGTACGCCCCAACTCTCGATAGAGGCGATGACGAAATGGACAAATTTTATGGCGAGATCAAGGAACTTCTAGGGTTAACCAAGCCACACGAAATCAATATAATACAAGGCGATTTCAATGCGAAGATCGGTTCTTTACAAGCAGACCAAATCGTCGGCCCATATGGATTGGGTGATAGAAACCATAGGGGAGATCGACTGGTACAATTTTGCCAGGAAGAGAACTTTAAAATAACAAACACTTGGTTTTCGTTACCCCCTAGAAGACTTTATACATGGAGATCACCTCAGGATAATAAGGATAACATCGTTAGAAATCAAATCGATTTTATACTGATAAACAGGAGATTTGGCACATCACTCAAGCGAGTCTGTACATACCCGGGCGCCGACGTGCCATCCGATCACGTTCTTCTTTTGGCTTCCTATAAAGTAAAGCTTTCACTTGTTAAGAGACAGCAACGAAAACCTCAGTTAGCTATTGAAAAACTAAAAAACGAAGAAGTAAGGACGACTCTGCAACAAAAATTAAATGATGGACTGGCGAGACTGCGAGAGACGATTGGGGAATATCAAGTCGACAATATATGGGATAGCTTGAAGAAAACCATGAACTCTGTTTCTCAGAACATACTAGGATACCGTCAGTCTGTTCCTAAGAACAAATGGATGACAGAGGAAATTCTACGATTGATGGACGAGAGACGTAAACATAAAAATGTAAACCCTGATCAATATAGTCTTTTAAATTCTAGAATTAGATCTGAAATCAGAAAAGCTAAAAGAAAGTGGCTAGAACAAGAATGCCAAGAAATAGAGAGACTCCAACAGATACATGATACTCATAGGGAACATAAAAAGCTAAAGGAGGTAGCTGGAATATATAAAACCAAGGCACCAATAGTTCTAGTCAACGACAAAAACGAGATAATCCTGGAAAAGGATGAAAGAAGAAGAATGTGGGAGCAATACATAAGAAAACTATTCCAAGACAGTGAGAGAACGGACCTCGAAATTAACCCCGCGGGTGAATCGTTGAGTGGACCACCGATAACAAAAGAGGAAATTCGTAAAGCGATACAACTTTCAAAAAATAACAAGGCAGTCGGACCAGATGAAGTGCCAGCCGAGATCATTAAGCTAATAGACGATGATAACCTGTCTTTATTGGAAGTTGTTTTCAATAAGATATACAGCACTGGCAGGTACCCCACAGACTGGTTAAGGTCTACCTTCGTTCCATTACCTAAAAAAAGAAATGCAAAAAGCTGCAAAGAACATCGATTAATAAGTCTGATGAGCCATACACTAAAAATATTTCTTAAAGTCTTACACCACAGGTTATATAGAAAATGTGAGGACAGTATTAAAGACACACAATTTGGGTTTAGGAGTGGAATGGGGACGCGGGAGGCTCTTTTCAGTATTCGCGTACTGGTTCAGGATTGTTGCGATGTAAAAAAGGACGTCTTTCTCTGTTTTGTTGATTACGAAAAGGCCTTTGATAGAGTGCAGCACACAAAACTAATCGAGATATTACAAAAAATGGATGTAGATGGTAAAGATGTTCGCTGCATTCAAAATCTATATTGGCATCAAACTGCACATATAACAACAAACGAACTGAAAATACAAGATATAGAAATACGTAGAGGAGTGAGACAAGGATGCATCATGTCTCCACTTTTGTTTAACGTGTACTCAGAAGCCATTTTTGGCGAAGTATTCGAAGATAAGGACATCGGAATCAAAGTAAATGGAATATATGTGAATAACATTAGGTACGCGGACGATTCTGTCTTGATAGCGGATAATATCCAAGACTTACAACAACTGATTACTCTACTAAACGACGCCAGTAAAAACTATGGACTAAACATAAATAGTAATAAAACAAAGTTTATGATAATCAGTAGGGACAGGGTGCCTTATGTAAATGCGCAACTCGTCGTCGATGGAATGGCTTTGGAACGAGTCAAGAAATATAGATACTTGGGTAGTTGCTGTATGACGATTGGGACAACGACAAAGAAATCAAAGCCAGAATAGAAATAGCCCGGAGCTATTTTCTCAAATTTAAACATATACTTACCAACAGAGACACAAGCCTGAACCTAAGAGGACGATACGTCGAGTGCTATATATGGTCCGTTCTATTATATGGTATGGAAACATGGACGCTCAAAACAACATCAATTAATAGATTAGAACCGTTTGAGATGTGGACTTACCGCCGTATGCTGAGAGTATCATGGGTCGAAAGGGTTACAAACGAGGAAATTTTGAGAAAAATGGGCAGAGACAGAGAAATTCTATTACACATAAAAAAACGAAAAACGGCCTATTTCGGACACATAATGAGGAACTCAAAATATCGGCTTCTCCAGCTAATCGTCGAGGGTAAGATAGAGGGCAAGCGTGGCGTAGGAAGGAAACAAATGTCATGGCTTAGAAACCTGAGGGAATGGACTGGCTTGAAAAATATCGGGGACCTTGTACATACAGCAATGGACAGGGTAGCATACAGAAATGTGATCGCCAACATCCAATAGTAGTGGATAGGTAGCTGAAGAAGATAGTGTCCCACATCTGTGACCGTTATTTTTTATGATGTACATTGATAACATCCGCTCATGTTTCCACCATTACAAATTTGTGCTTTACGCAGACTATGTAAAAAGTATTCAAGATGCAACCGATATTCGAAAAATTCAAAGTGACCTAAACAGTTTATTGAAAAAAAATTTAGTAAATGTTCATCCATAATCTTTACACGCAATAAAGGTAATTTCACTCCCAAGGTCATCATTATTATTTAGTTTACCGTTTTACGGTCTCCGAGAGTGGCGAAAACTAAAAAGCGCCGTGTTGCACTTAATTGGTACATTGGTACATATATTTAGAAAAAAAATTGTTGGAAATGACATAAGTATTCATAAATATGCGGGATGACTCATTAAATGCTTGAAATAGGAACGACAAAGATAAAATAATTTTTATGACTTTAAACTGGAACAATAAAGTGTATTAACTAACTGCTATCTGGCAACCCCTTGGACACAGTAAGGACGGGTAAATAAAATCTTTTTGGTTTACCGGAAACATTAAAACCAATTGGAGGATACTTGGTACATCATTGTTGGCTTAGATTAAGAAAATATTTGACACCTATCACTCAGATATTTAAAATGAACAACAATGAATTGAAGCTTATTCCTTCATTTAATGAAAAAAACCCAATCAGAATTTTATCGTTTGCTAGAAGACGAAATTACTTAAGTGATTAAGTTATTTATAATTTCACAACAAAAATAATCGAATCGGAAGAAATCCCCAGAGAAAAAGAAAACGAAAGTTGGTACCATGAACAACGAACAGAAACAAATTACCGAACATTTTTTCTCTTAGAAAACACGTTCGGTAAACTTTTTAAGTCCCTCGTTTATTAATCACTCGCTCCGCTGCGCTCCGCTCGTGTCAAATAAACGAGTCAAATGCCGTTTCCACACTTGTTGCATAATATACTATTACAAATTTAGAAAATGCTCCTTTTTAGTTTAACTGATGTTTAAATATTTTTTGATACACTTTATGTTCATTTTAAAGCATTTCATTTTGCTTTTGAGTAATTATTACATACAGAGATGTCCATTGAAAATCTTAAAACAGCTTTGTCTTAGGAACGAAAGAGAATATCGGAAATCGCTGAAAACGATTTCTATCAGGAGAGGTGGAAAGGAGTTCGAGTGATGCTCATTTAAAGCTATTGAAAAACGTTTTTGAGGAATTTTAGAAAATCTAGATTTTATCACTCGACCCTCACTCACTGTCCAAGGGGTTGTAGATAATGGATAAGAGAAAAGCAAAAAAAAAAATAAAAAAAAATTATCATATTTTATACACAATGACCATCCGTTTTTTATTTTTTTCTCTAGGAGTATCTTAAGTACTAAAGATAGATTCTGATTTTACGATTGTTCGGGTTTTGATTTTCTAACACATTTTCGAAAATATCTTCTGAAGAATTATTATCACTCTCCTCTATGATCTCATCATTTAGTTCTATTTCACTCAGAGGTTTCCCATTATTCTTAATAATAATAATAACAATAATAATAATAATAATAATAATAATAATAAACATAACAACTTGCTCAATTTAGCAGTTTGGTAAACCTCGTCTAAAATTCTGAACGGTTTTTTTTTAGTAGGACCCATAAATGAAGCAAGCTGCTCCAACTCATTTTTGTCCATTTTAAAGATCTCAACGACAGTTGCCAACTGCTTTCTTTACCTAATGGAAGTCGACAATGATGCTGCCGCCTGAATGTTTTCTCATAACCGTATATCCTCCAATTGAATTTAATGTTACCGGTAAACCAAAAAGATACTGATTATTTTCAAGATCAGTTTTTTTCCAGATTCACCAAAGAGAGCTTAGAATACAGAACGATTTTGTCAAAAACTACCGGTACTCTTCTAGCGGTTTTTCCACTGACGACTATGCGTTTGTGTGATATAAATAAAATTTTCTCGGAATCTGTCAGCACTTTTTCAAATTCGGAAGATGGGATGTCATTCTTTGGAGTTTCCCTACCCGTCTTTTACTATAAATCATGACACTGCAGACTATACCTTCCGATAAGCTTTCTCGTTGTGATCATTTTCTGCTAAAACAAGTTTAGCTTATAAGTTAAGATTCTTAAGATATTGGTCCAGTTTTTAAACAAAGAAAAACATTGGGAAAATTCGGATTATATTCCTAACTGTCTCTATTACAAAATCACTTTTTTATCAGTAATCTAAATTTTAAAGTCATTGGCATAGTCGGTAGTTGGTGAGACATTTTTTTCAAAACAATACTTCTACTTTATTTTGAATTTTATTTTTACGTAAATAAAAAACCGTACAACAATTAAAATATTGATTGGAACCTTCGGCACTGTACCAACACACTATACGCATTTTACCACAAACCGAAGCACAATTTTACGTCATCGTCACGAGATTCGCCAACCAAATTCCCATCTTCAGGAGAATATCAACAATGAATCTTTCATTGAAGATGTCAACTTGAGTGCTGAAACGCGCATCTATGACGTAAAATTTTGTTTCTGCTTGCGATGAAACTTTTATTATAAAACAAAATTTTTCTACGATTATGCAAGAAGTTACTTTTTTCCGAATATTTACGTAAGTTTCAGAAAATGGTAAATTTAAATTAACTTTGATATTTTCCACTGCAGGTATTAATGTCGAATTAAAATCGAATTTTTTGTAAGCCATATTTTGCCCAGCTAGATCCAAGATTCGTTTACTTCTATGACTCATTGTTAAGTTACGCCGAAACAAATTTTTATAGTTAATTAAAATATTCAATCATAATTATTTAGGAGACTTAAAACTATAACGCCCGGTCACATGGGGAAGATCATATAATCCGAAAAAATATTTTCAATATACACGGTAAATTCTGGAAGTCAAAGTAACTGTTGACAGTGCCACTATATACACGTAATTTGGGGAAGTCAATGCCACCTTAAATGTATAACCAATATACAGGCACAGAAATCGATGCTAGCGGAATCTCGTCGAACAACCCCGTATAATTTTATCCAGCTAACGTAAAAACTGGTGAAACAAAGTCACTGTTAAGTCGAATTGTAAGAAGTGTCAACTAGTGTTCTAGTCTTATTTTATTATTTGCTCAACGTCCACTGTACATGTTAAACAAACTCAAAAAGTCAACACTTTGAATAATGTTAATTTGTTATAAGCAACTTAATATTTTAACTTTAATAATGGTTAGCTATATTTTTTATAATATTGTACGTATAATCCTGTGGATACATCATATTTGATACTAGGAGCTAGGGGCGTTGCCCCCGAATCTAAACACCTGAACCTGACTTGATACATTTTGCTTAGTTAGGCGCGAATATTGCCAGAATTGTATTGTTGATCTTTTAGTAAAATAATTTACTAGTACAAAAATTTAAGTTAAGTTAAGTTTAAGTTATTATTATTATTACCTGTAACAACACCCCAAACGCCTGTGTTGCCTGATATCGATTTTTTGGCAAGGGAAGCGACTTTCTTTTTTTCGACTGCCGTCGCCCCTTGTAGGGCTTCCACCCCGTGTGTACGTCGAGACATCATCTAATGCGTTATTATATAGGCCCTTTTATCGCGCATGTAGTAATGG